CAATAAAAGTAGAAGAAAACTAGTTACTTTTGGAAGGTTTCCACTACAACCAAAAGATGAGCTATCTCTTTTGATCCTTGTAAATAAAAGCAAGTACAACTAAAAAGGGAGTCTAAGCCTCTATCATGGTTGTCACAACATAAATGTAAAGACTTAACATAAATAAATGAAAGACTTCAACCACAAGGGGAGTCTAAGCCTCCATCATGGTTGATACTAAAATGAAACGAGCAATGTATACAAACTAACTTTCTAATTTACAAGAGAAGAAAAATTCTCTATTTTACAAGGAAAAGGATGCCCTTTAAGCTCCCAACATGGGAGTATTTATAGGCAAGGAAAGGGAGGGGGTAGGAGATAAGAGAGGATGAGTGAATAGTATTTGCCGCCCATGGGAACCAACTACTCTTTAGGCAGTCTGTGGAGGACGTTCGAACGTGAATTGACGTTCAAAGGTTGTCTTTTGTTTTGCTTTCGGAGCGTTTGAACGTTGTATGACGTTCCAACATGTCTTTTGGTCTTGCTTTATAAACATTCGAACGCTAGATGGGGTCTGACCTTTTCCACTCCAGTGGTCTTCTGTGAAGTTCATTTCCACACTCTATGCAAAAGTCTGTACTTCAAATGATTCCAAGGAACGTTCGAACGTTGATTGGTGTTCGAACATGGTACTCAAGTACCTCAGGGTCCTGCTTTGTTTGCTGCAACATGCCATGTCTCATCAGTTTGGCCTTCAATCGACTCAAGTGGACGTTCGAACGTTAGTTGGCATTCGAACGTGGTACTCAAGTACCTCAGGGTCCTGGTGCTTGTCTGCTGCGCCATGTCTCATCAGTCTGGTCTTCAATCAACTCAAGTGGACGTTCGAACGTGGTACTCAAGTACCTCAGGGTCCTGGTGCTTGTCTGCAACACATTGTCTCAGCAGGCTGGTTCTGTCATAGTTTAGATGGACGTTCGAATGTGATTTGGCATTCAAACATTCTTTTTTTTCCCCAGCCTCTCCAATTTCATTCCCTAATGTGCTGGTGAGATATTCAAGCGTGACTTTTGTTGCCCTCGAGCCCTTGTTCACTTTAGAACCTGAAATATCCTTACTTGAGCTCCATTAAAGTATAATTAGTCTTAAAACGACATAATAATATGCTAAATTTAAGTACTAATCACTTGTACCCGTCGAAAACATTCCTCTCCAGGCTCTACTAAAAGAACTTCCCCTGTCCACTTGGCTCATATCTTCTCCCTTTTTGCTTGCTCACTTGCACTTTCCATCTCTTTCAGCTCAGCTTCCACAACCAAGGCTTCTTTGTATAATTTTGAAAATGTTGTTAACTCCAGCATCGAAACATGGGATTGAATATTGTAGTGTAGCCCATCTGGTATCTCCTGCATCTTTCCCCCTCATCTACTACAACAGAAGACATAAATCTGGACAAAATACTAAATTTACCCTAAATCTGGACAAAGTACTAAATTTACCCTAATACTCCAACACTGACTGATTTCCGTATTGCAAATGTAAGAATTTATTTTGTTTCTTGTACCGATAACTCAAGGGAAAATACTTCTTATCGAAAGCAACTGTAAACTGTCACCATGTGGGAACTCTAGGAACTGAACTGACCTCTCCCTTAGTGCACACTGGCAGCAATGCTCTCTTCGTGACCTCCAACCAATACTGGGCCTCCTCTACTAGCATGAAAGTGGCCAACAATTTATCTTCACAACCTGAGTAATAGACATACAACCTGAGTAATATCACACTGACTTCGTTGGTCCACTCTGGACTGAACTCAACTCCACGAGACAGTACTCAATTGACTAGACAGTGGACTAATATGCAACTCCCTTTAAAGTAACTAAAAAAAAAGAAACTATAAGGGTGTGAGCTAAATCACACACTTAGTGAGTATACATGTAGTATATAAAATGAAAATAATAGTAATACACAGAAGTAGGCAGGTACTATATAGATACACGTATCAAACAATAATATCAATCCAATTACAAAGAATTCACAAGCCACAAAACGTTCATACTATCCCTCATCAGGAAGTCGCTCCTACATGGATCCGTGTCTCCCGAACCTCCCAGGAACACCATAGTGCTAGCACACCACTGCACGCCTGGTAATCAAGCATTAACGCTCCTGTCTCATACAGTGCGCCACATTTCACAATACATAATACACAGTATAAAATATCATTCAATCACATAAGTACATAACACATAATTTTGGAGAATTTCTATTAAATTTTATCATTTACTATCATCTTATAATAGCATTTTCAAAATATATAAAGATATATACCTACTTCAAGTGTACAAATTTATGGGCCTTCGAACCTACCGGTGGACCCCTTCGGTGTTTCTGTATCTGTCTCAACACCGACTGTCCTACCTGTTCCACCTAACACATTTGTAATTACAATATCAATATGTTTATCACATTTAATAATTAATCATGCACAAAATACATGCAAGATGATTTAACCTGAAGTGCCCTGGTAACCTCGGTTACCACACTGTCCACTCACATACTGACACATTAGATTTAAAACAGGCACACTTAAACTCCCACACACATTTATTCATCTAGAACAACCCCTTAATTGAACCATTAAACCCTCTATTTCACTCCCAAAAATTTTGGTTTCAACCTAGCCCACTAAAAGCATCCCAAGTATCTAAAATGTTTGTTTTTCACACTTTTCTCACACCCGCTTGAATACCCACTTAAAACCCTTTTTAGCAGCCCTTTAATTATGCTTAACACACTTAATTAGACTCACACAAAGTCTCTTTTGAAATCTAAATAAAACAGTCCACACACACACGCTTAAAATTAATCACACACACACACACATTAAAATGAACACACACCCCCTTATACCTTTCTCTTGCTTTCTTCTTCTTTCCTTACCTTCTTCTTGCCCTCTCTTACTCTCAGTTTGGCATGGAGGTTTCCCCCAAGTTCCTCCCTTTGTCTTCTTTCTTCTCTCTCTCAGTTTGAACTAGAAGCACCACCAAAAGCTTGGTTTCTCTCTCCTTCTTTCCCTCCTTGCTCACGGCTCAAGAAGACACACACACTATTTTTTTTTCTCTCTCTCTTTTGCTCTCCTCACTCACAGTTTTAGGGAAGAAAGAACACACACACACATACTAAATCATGTTTTAAACACACACACTACTACATCTTAAATTACACACACACATTCCACACCTTAGAAAACACACACGACACACACACACACACATGCACAAATCCACCTAGCATTTTAATTGACTCACCTACTTCATATTTCAACACATGTAAGGATCACTCATTCTAATTTGATAATTACACTTGCCTCCCCTAGTTCTTAAGTAATTTTGAAATCCACCCACTACTATTTTCACACATGTAATTTCTATAAACGGGTCTTACTAATACATCCCTAATGGGATCCAAATATCCAATGTATGCTCACACACATTATGACTATGCAGGGTTTACTTTAATTAACCCTTTAATAGTTTTACATAATTATAATTTAGCCCAGATAATTATACTAATATGCATGCAATACATGATCAGGTCTCACACTAAGACTCGTTTCAATTTTTTTTTCTGCAACAATTTTTTAACTTTTGGGTAATTATCATTAATACTCCTTTTAGATAGACATATCTTTAATGAGCTCCCTCTATTATGTAAACCATCGCTGACACCCCTTCTAGATAGACATAACTTCAATGAAACTCCCTCTATTTTTTGAATCTTTTTATATATTAAAATTCGAACTGATTAAAATTTAATTCAAATTAATTAAAATTCATTTTTTACATATTAAAATTTGAGCCGATTAAAAATTAAATTGAATTTTTTTCAACTTGAATTAAATTTTAACCGATTGAATTTTTATACATAAAAAAATATAAATTTTAACTGATTCAAATTTTAAGATGTAAAAAATGAATTTTAATCAACATGAACCCAATTTTAATACGTTAAAAAAAAAATTCAATCAACTCGAATTGAATTTTAATTGATGCTAGAAACTCAGGCTAAGCGTCAATCAGCTTAAATTTTAATGCGTAAAAAAAAAATTAGCGACTCAAATTTTAATATGTAGAAAAATGAATTTCAATCGACTCGAATTTTAATATGAAGAAAAATAAATTTTAATTGACTCAAATTTTAATTAAATTCTATGTAGAAAGATTGTTTGAGGTTTATATATGTAGGGGTAATTTTGATATTTTAGATATATTTTTTTTTTGTCAGAAGCGATAGTTGAACAGGGGTGTTTGTGAGACTTAAATATAAATTAGAAAAAATGTCGGTGAAAGTTTGGATAATGGAGAGGTTCTCATTAAAGATATTCTTATTTAGAGAGGGTGTTGATGATAATTACCGTTAACTTTTTACTCAATAGCTTAGTTTTTTACTTATAAATTGCATAAAACAGTGGGTTCAATCTATCGTAAAAACACACTTTTGAAGTTTTTCACTAAAAATGTGGGTTGAAATTACTATATCGAAAAATAAATTAAAAATTACATTATTTGAATGAATATATTTAAAACCATGGCAAGATGGTAAAAATTAGTGAATATGTTCCCCCTAACAGTTATTGGATGTTATAGCATCCAGTCATACTTCCATTTAGCAAGATTAGAATGTAATCCATTCATTAGTATTCGATTCTGAACAAACTTAAATTTGCAGTCTTATCAGTTATATCCCTAAACGAGAGAATAAAGGGATAGTGTCCATGGGAACCAAATACTGAAAGCCTCCTAAAACTTTACTTTTAAGTACTGAATATTTAAACTTGATACATACTTTATTTCTAGGGGTAAGACTAGAATACCAAAAACGAAGGAAGCATACAGAAACTTACAATTATGCTATTGTCTCACACGAACCTTTCGATATGGTACCGAAAAATGACAGTTTGGCATCATAGTCTCACCCTAGTACCATACTTGTACATTAATGGTTTAGCTAAGAGAGCTTTAGATTGATACACTGTTGGAAATTCCCTTACCAGTTAGTCCACCTTCACTGGTAGGATACAACAAAGTGTATGGCATTTTGACAGGACCAACCCTGTTCATCCACTTATTATTGTTGTTCATCTCCGTGATACGATCCTCAATTCCTTCAAGCTTTTTCCCAAATCTCCCAAAGGCTTCCAATGGTTCAGCATCTGTAGTCCATTCAGGAGTGTCCCTTTGCCCCAGATAAACCTCGTCGGACGAATGGGTGGACAAAATCTCTATCAGAGAAATTCCCAGCAGGGTTTGCAACTGGGCTGTAATGGTCCTCAAGAAAGCCTTGTCGGGGTTTGACTCGAGCTCATGATACTCAGGACTGCCCGGTTCAGGCATGAACCTACGACTCAAGGTTGGACGGTTCGGGAGGTATCCAGCATAAGGGTACTGTCCGAAATTGACAGCTGCATGGAGAGCAGAAGCCACCCATATGATGATAGTGCATGAGTCTCTCAGTTCTTCGCGAGTCTGCATTTTAGGCCACCAGGGCTCATTTTTCTTATCACCGTGTCCTTTTTCTCGAAGTTCTTTCCACCATGACTGGAGTTCAGAGTCTTTTTGAACCATCTCATCAGTCTTGTAGTAGAAGTTGCAGTAGTCGTCAACCCATGTTTTGATTGCTGACCAGATCTCAAGCCCATCAACGGCGTATGGGTAATCCTGAATTAGTAGGTGGAGGCCGTGTGGAGAATTTGAGTCCTCAATTGCCATTCCTCTGTATAAATCAAGCAGTAGAATGTCATGTGAACAAGATAACCACCTGAAAATTTTCATTTTCTTCTTGTTTACTCCACTCTAGAAACTTTAACCAAAAATTTGAAGTTCCAAATTATCCCTCACTTTGTCATAGATGTGTCATTTCGTGCCTCTTTACTTAGTCATACTTAGATATCTTGGTAGTAACCCTTCATGTTTGTTAATTGTGTATGTCGTGTTTGTGTTGCCCGCGTACATAAACCAAACACCCAAGACCAGGATTTCTCTCTCTCTCAAGTCTTAACCAAATCCATTACCCGAGGTTCCCTTGTTAACGAATGTATTACTTATCCATATACTAGCAAAACCACATATGTAATCGTATAAGGAGCTGTTAGTTTTGAGTATTAGATTTGAGTGGTATTAGAAATTATTTTCATTCCACTCCTATCCAATAATATATTATACCCGGTCTTAAATTATAATATCATATTCCCCTTATTTATTTGTCACAAATATTATCAGTGTAATACCTACTTAAAAAAGTCAACAATTACAACTATGGGTGGTAAAAAGTCAATTATAACCTTTTAATCTTAAAAAGACAATTGTACATGAGAGCATTTGTGTCATTTTAATCTCTTATACCATCTTTTCATTTATACCGGGAAGATAATACCACATAATAGGTGGTATTCAATAACACCGTATACAAGACATTTAAATAACTGTTCATGCCGGGTCGGTATTACGACCCGAAAAATAGTATCACTGATAAAATATCAAACAAACAAGGTATAAGATGAGTCATACATACTATTTTTCTAATACTACCCATATGTACCACTCTAGTACTTCAAACAAAAAGCCCTAACTGTACACGAATTCATATCACAGGAGATCAAAAACTAGAAGACATTAAAATATATATCAGTTGTTTGCTTCATGCACTACCATTTATTATCCATTTTTAATGAGTCATATAATTATTGAGTTCGTGTTAGTCATAACCCGCTAATTGCACATGGTTTCATGTCATGTTGACGTGTCCAATCAAAAATCATTTCCCATATATATATATATATATATATATATATATATATCTATATATATATAATATTAATTATTTGTGCTAAGATACAGAATAATAAAAAATGATAAATAATAAAAATATTTATAATTTATATCTAAAATCAAATACAAACATAAAAAAATAAAAAAATTTAACGGTTTGTAGTGGGGATGAGAGGTGATGGGTTATAGTGGTGGTGGTAGGAAATGGTGATGGTTGTGGTGAGTGACAATGACCATGGTGGCGGTGGCGGTGGTGGTGGTGGTGGTGGTGGTGGTGGTGGTGGGCGGCGGTGGGGTGTAGAGGTAATGGTGGGGCAATTTAAAATACTATTTTTTTTAAGTATTTATAATAAATAATTTTTAAAAGTAATTTTAAAAAGTCACTCCAAACACACCCTTAAGGCCCTATTTTTTCTATTAAATTTAGGGTGTTAATATTAGCCATTAGATTAACTTTAAAATAAAATTTAAAACAATCTGAACCGCGACAAGCAAAAATTATTTTGTTTACCTTTTGAAATTTGAATTGTAAGCTATTTAATTATATAGACTAGTTATTGTCTGTGCCTGAAGGCACCGAGAAATAAAAAATGGTAAACAATAAATATATTTGTATTCATATCTAAAATCAAATCACAAATATGAATTAGAGATAAATGAATTTAAGTACCAGTTGTAATTGAGGTAAGAGGTGGTGATAGGAGAAGGTGATGATTGTGGTGGTGACAATGACCGTAGTGGAGGTGGCGACGATGACGGTGGCAATGGTGGTGGGGGCGACAGTGGTGGCGACGATAGTAGTGATGGTGGCGGCGGCGACGACAATGGCGGTTGGCGGTGGCAGTGGTAGTGGTAGAAGTAGTAGTGGGGCGGTTTTAAACACTAATTTTTTTAAAATATTTATGAGAAATAATTTGTAGAAATTATTTTAAAAAGTCACTTCAAACACACACTTAAGGGCCTATTTTTTCTATTAAATTAGGGTGTTAATATTAGCTGTTAAATTAATTTTAAAATAAAATTTAAAACGATCTCAACCGCGAATTGCAAAAGTCATTTTATTTATCTTTTGATATTTGAATTGTAGAAAACTTTATTATATAGATATATAGCTCATTTATGCATATACCTGTTTATGGCAGAGATATTTTGTTTTCCCCACCTGCTTTCTCATGCAAATATTTTGGAAGTTAAAATGATATGTCGTGACTAAGATCAGTATTTCACCTTTTGAGGAGATCAGCAGGGAGTGCTTGCTCAGGAAAAACCCAATTCTTGTAAAGTACAGATGACATTTCCATGGAAAACTTTGCTGGAAAAACTGTGCTCTCAAGAATTCCACCAGCATTAATTAATATCTGTCGAGAAAACGCATTGATATTCATCGTATCACGCAAATGAGGAAGCAGAAGCTTATAAATTGGGTGTATCACACTCAGCTGCCTGTTTGTAGCAATAACAAATGGCTCCATCGCTGCATGAGTATTCAACCTGCCACCAAAATTTTACTCGTTAGAGCCAAGACCATAATATTTGTTGTAAGGGTTAGTTTCGGCAGAGGTCTCTAAAGCATGGGTCTGGGTCAAAAGTAAGATAAAGCATATACTTTAGGGCTCTCAGTGCAATTAGCCCTTGTCGTAATAAAACTTTCTGTGTTAAATATTATACCAGTGGCTGCAGAGCTGATGAACGCCAGAATCATTGACAGCGACGTAAGCTTTAGCCAACTGCCATACAGACCCATCAACGCCATGTTCAGCAGGGGTGTATACTTTGCTAACAGCCCCAAATTGATCGCCTTCCGGATGTGGCAAGCTTAGTTCAATTGCTAATGGCCTCAATGTTCCATCTTTTTGCAAGAAGAGCAATGTCCTCGAGGCATAAGTCTTGGTGGAAGTCGTGTTTATTCGCCTCAGATATGGCATCAATGTGTCATGGTGATCCAATATGAATAGCCGATAGGTCTTTATTGCCTATCAACAAAATATTTTATAGCTATAGGGATTATGATAAATGAATGATTGGAAAGCTACTTTATGAGCGCAAATAGTGTTAATAAATGAATGCATCAACTTTACCCCATTTACTGTCAACCCATCTAAGTGTTTCTCTATATTTTCTTTGGTTATTGAACTGTTTTGGTTGCCATAAACTTTAGGATCTAGCTTGCTTGTTGGAGGAAAATCCTGCAAGGAAGGAATTTAGCAAAACATCATTATTCCCCGTTTGGTTGTTTGAGAAGATGGAGGAAAATAGAGGAAAACTGAGCTAATTTCTAACTTAAAATATTCATTTTTGAGAATCCATCTTCTTAACAGATACACGGATCATAACATAATTTATAAGAGAAGTTTGAGTACTTTGAGACTTTGGATGATGACAGGGTTAACTCCAGCCAGCATTTCTCTTGCAAATTCTTCATCTGTCCTCCATGCAGACTTGTCCTCTGTTCCAACAACATTGAAACAACATGAACAACTACTGTACAAAACATTGGCATAAAAAGTGTTTGTGCAAAGAAAACGAAAGGAAAAGGAAAAATTTACACCCGAGGTAAATATAAATAATACCCTTGATAACTTGTGGCATTGGATATTTGAAGTGTCCCTGACCATCAATTCGAATAAGGTCCAGCAAAGGACCTTCAGGTCGCTTGATTCCTCCTTCATAGAGTTTAAGCACATCTTGAAAGGTGTTGAACTCATTATGTGTAAGGTTACATATAGCCTCAAACTCGGGGTGGAGGAATTGAACGACGGCTTTCAAGGCATAAGCAAGAAAATCTGACATCTTCAAATGTCCAAACCTTTCATCTCTTGGAACATAAATGTTTAAGCTCATCAGAAGGGGCAACCTACTCTCGGAATTTGGATCTGTCAAAGTAATACCAATGATTCACAATACTTCACCAATAATAGCTAAGAGTTGAAAGCATAGTTGAACTTTATCTTCCACACTTACTGTAATGACTATCTGATTTTCTGTTGAACAACTAATAATTCTGAGTGTTTAGTAAAAAACCAAAAATTATTTCAACTAACAATGCCACAGAAGAAATGACTAACCTGTCTTTGTTGGTGGTCGGCCTGTTCTCCCCCTACGAGGATAAGGGTACTCGGTAGACCCTCCAAGAATTTGGCGGTCATATTTTGAGCCCTTATCAGGATCTCCCAAATCATTGTAGTAAGCATAGTCATAGACCCTGTCCCATTCCTCAAGCTTTCCAATTCCATGTCCTCTCAAGTTCACCAATTCTTCTTCTCTATACAGACGTAATGGTGCTGGCGTTTCACTTGGCATATATGTCTGCATTAAATATTTTATGTAACTTATTTCTTCAGCAAAAAAATGTGTTCCTTACTCTAATTTAGTCAAACTGGTATCTATCTAAACTTCATGGCTTTGCTAAAAAAATTAGGAAGAACTATATAGTCATTTGTTGAAGGACTAGTTCACTGCACTTTAAGGGTGCATAACACACTTAGGATTCGAGTATCACTACCAATGTGAAATCAATCAAGATGTCAAGCTTCATCTTGGAAGAATCAATTCCTTGTTTATTTCCAGTAACAACATATACATATAATTGACACTCAAATGTCCCATTTTTGTTAGAGGTCTATCTTTCCTAGTCGAACCATTTAGAACTATGTTTCTTGAAGATTGACAAAGAAGATGGCAACTAGATTTTGTTGGGGGAATTTAGCATAATTTAATAAAAATTGGTAAACAAATCAATAACAAAAACATAAAATAGTAGAAATACAAATAAATATATGAAACAATATCATGTGATTAGGATAATATATAATAGACAATAAAAATTTAGAAAAAGTTGGATTGTGATATCTAAAAGAAATGTAATTACTGTGCTAAAATAGCTATATCTTCCCACGTGATGGTATTAACAGACATATGCAATTCCAAGATCTAATTCAGATATGTTCAAAGTAGCACCTTACTCAGGGATCACGTCCACCGGAAGATAAGGGTGAACTCGACACTATTGAAGTTGCCCAAAAACTTAGGAATAATATGTGTATAAAATAAGTATTTTGAATTATAAGAAGAACGGTACACAATATGAAAGATGGAAAGTATAATCACATATAAGATTTGTAAGTGTGTATGAACAAACACTCTTAAGACTTGTGGGGCTATTTGTGAAAGAGCAATATGCTAATTGTCACGTGTCTTCCATTTGAAGATCACCACCGGTGTCGAGGTTTGTTAAAATTCGACACGATACGATTAATTGACATAAATCGATACGAATTAAATGAATTTGAATAAAATTTTAACAGATTTGAGTGATTAACAAGTCGACTTGTCAAACACGTTTAATAAATAAATCGTGTTTGGATGAGACCTATGAATCTGTTTATTATCTGTTTATATAAATTTAATATAATAATAAATTAATAATTATTTTATCTACCGAATGAGTAAAGAAAACATTCAAAAAAAAAAATAAGGAAATCAGATCAAAAAAAATATGAAACAAAAGCTTAGAGCTTTAGAGGCGTTGAATTGCCATTTCGTTGAATCCCACATTAATTCGTCTCGCTGGTGATCGGCTTCCATCAGATCAGTAATTGGGGGAAATGAATTTCAAGAACGTGAAGATTCCAAATGTTCTGGGTGGTGGTGCGGCTTCTGCTTTGATCAAGTTTGGAGCAATTGTTGGGCTTGGCATATACGGAGCTGCTAACAGTCTCTACAATGTTGAAGGAGGAAATCGAGCTATTGTCTTCAACCGTATTATTGGCGTCTAAGATAAGTTTATCCTGAAGAAACACACCTGATGATCCCACTGTTTGAAAGACCAATCATATACGATGTTCGTGAAGGACCCCATTTGGTGGAGAGCACTTCGGGTAGTCGTGATCTCCTAATGGTAAAAATTGGTCTTCGAGTTCTTTGAATCTCACATCGACTATGGGGGGTGGTGGTTTAGTTGCCGATAGAGGTAATGGGCCTCTTCTTTTTAATTGATCTTTGTGGTGTGGGTTATCACTTGGAACTCTTGCAATTGAAGAAAGTATAGTTGAAAAAAAAAATTGGAACGTATAAATTTGTTAAAATAATAATTTTTTATTTTTGTTATTTTTAAATATGTTAAATGAATTGTGTTGTGCTATATGTTTATTAAATGATTTTTATTCGTGTTGAAAATTTTTATTAGTTTATTAAACGTGTTGTGTATGAGTTTGTATATATTTTATTTGTCATTCCTTTAATTTGACATATAACTGTTTAATCCAACACGATTGACACCTCTGCCGAATGCCTCATATAGGCAACGGGTCATAGAACCATTATGGGCTTTAAATGCCCAAATATAAAACACAATTATAACTCATTAAACATTGGGTTCTTTGAAAGCCGGTATATCTAATTAGATTTATTTGATAAAAAATATATAGAACAAAATTTGATTTAAAAAGACATAAATGCCCATTTTAGGATCATTCAATTCAAAATCTCTTATCTTTAATGCACATTGATTCATGTGTGTTTGTTAATACATATAAATACGTATTTAATGCACCTCCATTTGTGTGTATTTGTTGCACCTCCATTCATGTGTATTTGTTAATATATATATATATATATATATATATATATTTGTTGTTAAATCTCTTATTTAAATTTTGAATTATCTTTAATGTACCTTGATTCATGTGTATTTTTTTTTTTTTGAAAAATGATTTTGTTTTCAAATTATATTTAATGCACATTGATTCAAGAATTTTTTTTTTTTGGAAAATAGTTTTATTTTCAAATTAACTTAATATCCGAATAATAGAATAGTTATAACAATAACAGTGTAATAAAAATAATGTAACAAAGACAGTATAACAAATACACTATAACAAAAATAGTGTTCAATAGTTTTGTGTATATGGTAACAAATTCAAAACGAAGATGGACTATTTTGAATGAAATTATATGAAACTATATGTTTGACAAAATGTAATAGTACAATATTTTGTGTAAATAGTTTGTTACACTATTATTATTATACTGTTACATTATTAGTGTTACACTGTTACATTTTTATTGTTACACTTTTATTGTTTCACTATTCAGATATTAAATTAATTTGAAAATAAAATCACTTTCTAAAAAAAAAATACATGAATCAAGGTGCATTAAAAGATAATTCAAAATTTAGATATGAGATTTAACAACAAATATATACATACATATATACATAAGTATTTATATATATATATATATATATATATATATATATATATATATATATATATATATATATATTATTTATATATGTATATATAAGTATCTCCCATAAAACTAAAAGATGTTTAATGCACCACTTTCTAAAGAAAAATGGTGCATTAAATACACATAGATTAATAGAGGGCAAAAATGTCACAATAAAAATAGATAAATTCAAATTATGTATTTGGATATAAATAAGTATCAAAATTAAGTACTTAATAACTCTATATTTTTTAGTGTGTATTTTTTGCCAAATAAATCTAATTTGGTGTACCCCTTACAATTTACCCTTAAACATTAAATGTAAATGACCCATCAATGAAAATTAATAATTAACTAAATCTTATATTAAAACTGAATAAAATAAATAGAAAGTTTTAAAAATTTTATTTTATTCCAATAATCCCCTACAAGTTTTTAAAACTTTGAAAACTTTTCAAATATAAAAGTATATAGAAAGTAAGGGCAACTGTTATACCATGCAATTGTGTAGGTGTCTAAAAGACTTGAACCTCACTTAATCTTGACTGCCTTTATCTAACGGATCAGTGTGACCAAAGGAACATACCATTTGAGTTAGAATTCAATTGTCACATATCACAGTACTAACATTAGTGAGACCCATATCTCGAAATTAGTGAGACCAATTTTAAATGCGTTATTCTCTGTGAGGAGATGAACGCAGTATATTTATTTGTCTAAAACCATTAAATGTTGAATGAGAAATTGTTAAAATATTTTCAAAATAACAATTTTTTTGAAAAACTCTTTATGCCTTTTGGAAAAAATTAGAAAGGTGTGAAGTAAAGATAATATGAATTATGAAAGGGTATTAAACACCTTTTGATTACATTATTTCATAAAGCTACAATTAACACCTTTTGGTTAAAAGACATCATTACAGATAGTCACAACTTTTTATAAAAATCACATTTGATATCTTTTGGTTAAAAGACATCATATCAAATGGTTATACATTTTCATAAAGTTATCATCGATACATTTTGAACTAAAAGACTCCATTACAAATGGTTGCACCGTTTATGAAATGTCATTAGTGAGTCTATAAATAGGTGATGCCTTGCACTCTCAAATCACACTATTGAGCAATTTTTACTTATGACTAAAATTGCTCTCTCATTCTATTTCTCTCTATTATCACAATTCTAAATTCTATATTAATTATTTCTTCTTTCTCTCTTTGTCTTTTTCTTCATATTGTCGCATTGTTCTTTTTAAGAGGTCAAGTGTAAAACACAAAGTTGTGTTCGTTAGAGTTTTGAAGATTGAAGTGATACATCTTAAAAAACGAAATTCGTTATAACTTGAGAGACAATTGCTTATCAACCTTAAGCACCGACAAGGAAAAAATTTGCCTTAAGAAAACTATAATTACACAGGCCTTGGATTATTATTATTATTATTATTATTATTGAATTTCTAATTTTTGAATTTTTATAATTCATTGAACTACGTTACTATAAGTGTATCTCAATTTCTATTTTTAATTAAATTGTCGTTCTAGGTACTCGGACCCTCTCAACCATCAGATCTTTGATTCGGGATCCATGTATAAGGGCGTCAATTGATCCTACTGCCTTTTGGTTGGCATAATATAGAAAGAGAGTGCCAAGAAACAACACATACCTCTCACTTTTAGAAGGTTCAGAATTATCAAAGAACCCCTATAAACGTAGAGACTTGACTTCACTAAACTGACACTTACTCTTTGTTGGCTCCTATCACTCGTCTCTCTTTTACGAGAATCTCAGGATTTATGCGTTTTTCGAAAAAGAAATCCCTCAAAGAATTCTTCATGGAACTATCGAGATTCTTCGGACCATATTTCCTAGCATCAGATGTTAGTATACTTAGTAGATTTAGATTTTACTACAGTAATATATATATATATATATATATATATATATATATTTCTCTGTGTGTGTCTGTATTTTGGTTAACAGAAACTACTAGGGACATAATGATACCCATAAGTTTCATTGATGTATTTAAGATTAATACTTTTAAACTCTAAATAAAGAAAGAGTTTAATCTACTGGTTAAAAGTATGAGGCTATGCAGCCTCATTATCTCTTATTGTACCTGATTTGTGAAGAAAAGGCGGTCTGTTTTGTATTTGTCAGCTGGAAAAACCCAAGAGTTGCAAACAAAATGAATGCGTCCACGGTCGGGGAAGTCTTCGAGTGTGAGTGTCTTGAGGTAGAATTCACTGTGATGAAGATTCTTGATGATGAATGCACCTGGAACTCCTATCTCCTCCTCCCAATCAAAGGTAACTTTGAATGCCGATACGCCTGGTGCTGAAGGTGTATTTGTAGTATTCCAGTTTTCCAAGTATGCTGGACTTCCAATTTTGCCTCTATATTCTCTTTCTGCAAAATGACCATATTTCAAACCGTTTTACAGTTTTGACTTATACTACTAGTAGAAGGTCAACAGAATCCATAAAACTACCACTACATATCTGCCGACAATTTGATAACATATTTTTCCAATTGCAACTCTAGAGCACAAAACTGGTAAATGACTGTATATGACTCGTGGAGAAGAATGTGTAAGTTTACTGTTTACATGCAAGAACTCACCAGGATCACCATTAACAGCACTAATGAGCTGCAGAGAGACCTTATTCCCCAGCAACTCATGAAGGCTATCAAGAACCGAAGCTTTTAAGTCATCGAAGTCCAAAACACTCTTCTTCATCAACAAAACCGTTCCTCTTATCTTCTTACCCTCGTTTCCATCTCTCGTGATTGCCTCCACCAAGTTGTCAAACATTTTTGATTCTCCAGGAAAGAGAAAAAAAAAAACAAAAAACAAGGTACGTACCAAGCAAATAATATGGAGAACACCCTCAAAATACGGCTGATACGATGATGATTGATGGGGGGAATGTTGGCTGGTATATATAGGAAAAAAAATTACCTAATCCCTATGAATAGGAAGTATCGGTGCAAGATAAGACAAATGTGTAAGTTTTTCAATTAAAAGTGTGAGTCTAGATCACACTTTCATAAAAGTTGTGATACATTGGAAAATTAGTTTAAAAAAACGGTAAAGTGGAAATTAAGTTTGAGAAGAAGGAAGACAAGGATTTGGGTGATTTCTTGAGATTTTGAATATTTAATAAGAGAAGATTTGATGGTAGAGTTACGTTGGCAAAATTTATTGAGGTTTTCCATTCTAATTAACTTGACCATCAATGTTTGTCCTACTCATACTTGCATCTACTCAATTATTTATTCTTTTCTCACATTATAAGGAAAATTATTTCAGTGTACCTTTGGACTATATAATTTCATTTCATTTGATCCCAACATGTGGATATGTTCCATAAGATATCGGACTTTTATTTTTTGGGACAACGTGAAGACAATTTAAGTATTTGAAAGGAAAATTTGAAAAATTAAATAATTTTTAAAAAATAGAGATACAAGCCATATATATTTATTTTTCTCCAATTTTAAACCAAAATTAAAAAAACTATAAATGGTTTTGATGTCAACACGTATAACATGCCAATACTCAAATAAAGCTAGATGAAAATTGAGAGTGATTCCTTTACATAAAAGATTAGGTTATGAGGTTGAAAAAGTCGTCAATTTATATAATAAAGTATAATACAATTCAAATCTTAAAAATAAACAAAATAATTTTTGTTTTTCGTGGTTGTGATCTCTTTAAATTTTACTTTAAAGTTAATCCGACAGCTAATATTAACACCTCAAATTTAATAGGGAAAATAGGTCTCTAAGAATGTGTTTGATGTGATATTTTAAAAGTACTTTTAGAACTTATAACTACTTATGAATAATTAAAAAAATATATATATTTGGAACCGCTCCACCACTATCACCCCCACCACCATCACCACTACCGCCGCCCCCTATCACCTCCTCCACCATTGTCATTGTCGCCACGACTACCACCACCACCACACCAATCGCCCCACTACCACCGATTGCTATTACCGTCGTCCACTACTATCACCATTACAATTTTCATCTCATTCTTTTATTTACTACCATTATCACCGTTGTCTACCGTCAACACTCACCATTACCATTGTTGCTCACCACCACCCATCATTGCCCACCACCACCGCCAGTCACTGTCACCCACCCCCATCAAACTTACCACCAACCATCATTGCCCATCATCGCCACTAGTCACTGTCACCCACTTCCATCAAACTTACCACCACCAATCGTTATCGTCCACCACTATTGTCACCCATAGTCACCCACCTCTACCACCACCACCACCTCTATTTACCACAACCTGTCATACTGTCGCCCAAAAGCACTTGTCGTCGCCCACCACCTCCATAATCACTGCCCACCACCACAACCACCATTGTCGCCGCCTCACCACCACCATTGCCAACTACCATCACCATCACCATCACCATCACCGTTGCCCACAACCACTACCGCCGTCACGCATTACTGTCACTAACACCATCATCACCAAAAATCCACCATCAGCATCACCATTGCCACCCATGATTGTCATCACCACTACAATCGATGCTTAAATTCTTTTCTTTACTCTATGTTTGTAATTTGATTTTAAGTGTGAATATAAATATATTTATTGTTGATTTTTTTTTTATCTAAGAAAACTCAGTCATCTCTTAGAGGTTAAAAAGAATCAATAGTGACAATTCCGATAAGATTTCAAGACATTTCAAAAACAAAAAATGAAATGATTTAGGTATCAAAGATTAAAAAAAAAAAAAATTAACTTGCATATAAGAGAATTCATGTAAGAGTTTAAAATTTTCTAATAAATAAAAATTTAGATACTTTGAAATAGAAAATTGGAGGAGTCCTAGGCGAATCATATTGTTTTTGGAACGTGAAGTAAGTAATATGGCACTGGTAAATGTTGGCCAGATGATTATTATGACACAAGCAACATAAGTACAAGAGCGGTGATATTTGTCATCCCTAATTAATGCAGTAAGATTATATTTAATATCTTCAAACTTAGGACTATCAATTCGTGTCGTATCTTGTGATTTGCGTATCGATATATTCGTATCGTATTATTGTTTTTCATATCATATTTGTGTCAAGACCCACAAAAATAATATTTATGTACTGTATTCTAAGTATCAAATATTAATATAACTTGTGGGATAGACCTCCACTAAAGTAGCAATGGGGTGCCACCCACATAGCACCACGCCCACACAAATTAACAACTAAAGGCGTCGCCCAAGTGCTGCCTCCAAGTGTCACCCATAGTAGCTCAGGCACGGCAGCAACCTCCAGGCATCGCCCACAGTAGCTCAGGCATGCCAGCAGCACCCCAATAGGGCTCAAGCATCGCCAACAACGCCCCAGCGATGCCTAGGCATCGCTCAGCTAGTTGCCCAGCATTGCTGCCTCGCCTCCGTCACCTGTGAGCCCTATGCCTAGCCTTGCCATTACGCCTGGTGCCGCCACGCTTTTTGTCCTAGTGTCGCCCATACCCGACACCAAGCTTGCTACTTGGGTAAGGATTGACTTAGGACCTAGAGTCTTAGTAAAACTCGACTTCGATTATCAAGTGAATATTGATAAACAAAGTCTTTCAGTGAGCATATCCACACCTACAAGCTAGGATACAACATCCTAATATGACTCTACCTCAAACATCTAGGGAATTGGTGATGAGGTCTATCCTATTACAACCTAGAGTTCAATTCTACTTGGAACACGACGTCCTATGTCGCTATAAATAAAGGTTATGGGTACCAGGTATGTCATTCAATCCTAACCTATTCACCATATACTTTTTCTTTGACTAGCTTACTGACTTAAGCATCAGAGTCACTTTGGCTGCCTCCGACCATCGGTTCACCTAGACGTCCTCTTGTCTTGTAGGTTTACCAAGGTTTCTCTACCACATTCTCTATCTGTACGAGGGGGTTACAATTGGCGTCGTTTGTAGGAAACGATTAAGTTTTTTACTAATCAAGAAGTCTTAAACCATGACTGGCGAGAGAGCCCTCGATTACAGAACTAACCGTTCACTATGTCCACTACCCCCGATCCGCGAGGATCTCGCTAACTATGACCTCTAGTCATCAGATGAGGTGCTGCCTTGTGTTGGGCAGGACAACTCAAGAGAATCCTACTTCTCACCACAACATTCCTACTCTTGGTGGGGAAGGCAAGTTAGCCACTGAGATTGATTACCATGAGGCAATTAGGAAGAAGACGGAGGAGCTACAAGCTCTTAAGCAGGGCCTTCTACATCAGAATGGCAAACAACTCAATAGTGATGTCAAGCGGTCAACCCATAACCATGATCATCATAACGATTAAGGAAGCTTATTCCTTCCAATATTTGAGCCATTCTCAAGTAAGTTGTTACTCGACCCACAATCAGAGTCGAAGCAGGTACTCACCAGGAGAAGTGTTCATAACCGCACCCTTAGAGACCATTCTCCAAGGCATGATCACCTGCATCACAGGGGAGGGCACAAAACACATAGACAACGTTGTCCTAAGGAGCGAAGGGGTTGGCATTAGAGTCCTTCCCACTATCAAAGGGAAGACCGCTAGGATAACTATAGAGGATTTTTCTTCTAAGTTTTCATCGGATAGCGCCAACCATCTTACTCGGTAGAATGGTTGAGGAGTTTGGGAGAAGTTTCTATACCCCAGAGTGTAGTCCAACAACACATGTGCAACTCGGCCAAATCTGTTGCCCACGAATCCCAAAAATGTGATGGTGTCGTCAAGGTTAACCTGATTCTGAGGAGGTTCAGCAAACTCAGAGTCAGAGATCCTTGAAACAAAAAAATAAGGGAGATTAGGAACTGGGTATAGTGGCGTCGAGATGATATAAGCCGAGAAGAGAGAGCAGAGCCGACGTACTCGTCCACCATTGCTTGGGGCACCAAAAGTCGGCATACTTAGAGCCAAATCCCTTCTCCCATTGACCGCCAAAGATGAGGTGGTCATTTTTTTACCCCTTGTTTGAATCTAGAAAGTGTGTCATGAGGTACATGGCAAGGTCTCAGGCCTTAAGGTAGAACTTCTGCTAAGGCATCACCCTCACCAAAGCATAACAAAACAAGACTTGTAGATGCTCATTTAAAGCGACCACCCCCGTGATTATCCTAAAAGTATTCAAGTAACACTATCTTAGAAAGAGACCAAACTGGGATAAGAAGCGAAGAAGAAGGGGTGGAGGGGAAATCTAACGCCGCCTTCTATGATGATTTTGGTATAGAAAGGCATGACCTCCTCGGTGCCAACATTGGTACTGTGGAGACCAGCATGAAGTTATTTACAGTGACTCCAAGGGGGATGGAGTAGTGGATCCTAAAATTGGTGTGTATTTCCTTGGCCTTGAGGGCCAGCCTCATTGGCCCCAATGTTTGTGTTATGACGACATCTCGTCATGGAATAGGCAGGAAAAAGACTCGAAGATGGGATTCCTAGAGATGGGACCCTAAGAGTGGGTTGAAGAAGATTGGGAAACAGAAGGACACAGAAGGAGAGTGGTCACTATTGAGAGAGAAAGAAGAACATTTACTCACCAATGAGCACGATTCTGATACAGAGGAGGGGCCAGTAGCTTCTTTCTCCGGCGTGCGATACCTTAGAGCTCTCCTTAACCACACGTGTCCTCGGGTCAACAAGACTTAAGCCCTCTATGGAGCGACATGTGTTCTCGATGTGAGTCATCTCGGAGCTCTCTAAGATTGACACCTGTCCTCAGCATCCCAAGTCCCTCGAGGAGCTCTCCATCTGGCGTATCTCCTTGGCGTTAAGCCCTCCACTTCAACAATAGACATTGTTTTGATGGTTATCATGACTTGAGAGCAGAATTGGATGTCAATGATTAGTTTCCATTTCCTAGGCTGTCAAAGTGACAAGGAAGATAGTTTGATAACCAATGGTGAGGGTATACGATGTACAAAGCCCAGATGACATGATCTCTTGCAGGGTAATGGACAAAATAACCCCTGCATATGTATAGCCACAATGGGGAACATTAAATGATCCCTTAGAGGAATGAGACATATTTATTGTTCGGCGAGCCTAGAAAAGGGAGCATTAAATGCTCGAGGATTCAAGCATTAAATGCAAAAGCTTCTTCCACACGAAAGGAGGGCACTCTACTCGAGAATTGTGCACCACATGTTGCCTTCCAAATGTGCCAATGAGAAGTCTTCTCTCAAAGGGACTCAGTTGTCCACAATGATTAATTATGTGGAGGTATAAATAACTCTCACAAACTCAAGTCTGAGGTACGCAAATTCTCACCCAAGCAATAGAACAGTGATTTTCCACCCCTCTCTCACATACTAACTTGATCGTCGGAGGGGTCACGCCAAAAAACACTCTTGCACCCTTCTAGCCTTTTTTTTCGAGTGACAGGACTCAACTCGATAACTCAATGGTGACCAAATAGTTTGCAGAGAGCTTCATCACCATTTCTGAACACCCACTTACTGCAAAACCTCCGGCTTCCTAAGTAAGCTCGTGTTCATCAGGGGAATGATCTATCAAATATTTATTGTGCGAAAATCATCGCGCACAATCTTAAAAGAATCAACTTCTCAACAAACCCTAAATATTTTTATAATCTTCCTTAACACCAAAAATTTAAATTTTTTAGAAATTTTTTAAATAAGAGAGGAAGGTAGAGCAAACCTATACAAATAGATTATAGGGTTAATTGTACTGGCAATTCCCAAAATATAAAATTTGTCTCATTTTGTTTCTTAATATTTCAATTTTTTCATTTTGGTCCCTAAAGTAATGAATATATTTTTATGTGGTCCTTCAAATATGCAACTAAATCGCTAATAGTTTTTTATCATAAACTTGTCACATGATAATTAAATATTGGCAGAAAATAATTTGAGTAGCTCTTGCTAAAAAAATGTGTAATATGTGTAGCTCTTGACTAAAATTTGGATAGTTCATGATCAAAACTGTATAATTTGTGTAGTTTTTTGACCAAAATTTGAGTAAAAATTTGGTTAATAGTTATCCAAATTATTTTTTTTACTGATATGTTAGATATTACATGACAAGTTTAAAATAAAAAATCGTTATCAATCTAGACATTATTTGCTTTAGAGATCACATAGAAACGTATTCAATATTTCAGGACTAAAATGATGCAATTGAAATATTCAGGATCAAAATAAAACAAAATTCATACTTTGAGAACCTCCGATGCAATTAACTCTAGAACATACTTGACTTGAATTACAAGTTGTATTGATTCAATTTACTTAAAAATTGAATCTATAAATCTAGTAATATTAAATTCATTTTATAATTTAATTATGAGTTAATTATATTAGAGTTCCCAAAAATATGAAGTTTGTCTTAATTTAGGCTCCAATATTTTAATTTTATTATTTTGGTCTTTGAAGTACTGAATATGTTTTTATATGGTTCTCAAGCAAACAACGTCCAGATTGCTAATAATTTTTTATCATAAACTTATAACATGATACTTCAATATGGATAAAAAAATAATTTGAATAACTTTTGACTAAATTTCTATTCAAATTTTTGTTAAATAGTTATCCAAATTATATAGTTTTGATCATGAACAATCTAAATTTTGGTTAAAAACTACCTATATTACACATTTTTTGTAAAATGTTATCCAAATTTTATTTGAGAATTATCAAAATTATTTTTTATCTATGTTTAGGTATTACGTGATAAGTTTATGATAAAAAAATCGTTAACAGTCTGAAAGTTATAGGGACCATATAAAAACACTAGCAACTTCTCATCATTTTAGACCTTCACAAAGAATAAAAAGTATGGTATATGAAATAGGAAAACATTGAGGGAATTTTAGTATATTTACATAAATAATGATAATTTTGACATTTGCAGAAAATTTATACTCAAATTGTTATTTTTTGCACTGATATAGTTGAAAATTACCGTTAAATAGGTGTCTTTGATTTGAAAGTATAAATCAAAAAAGAGTGTAGTAAAATTTTAGAATCAAGAAGAAATGTCATTAAATTAGACCTAACTAAAAAGAGTATGATAAAATTTTTCTTTTATAATTTTACTAGTCATAACCCGTGTCTGAAGATACGATAAAATATAAAATTCAAGCATCCAAAATATGATCCCATTATATTAAATTTTTTTAAAATAAATTAACTATAAATTAATCAAATATTAAATAATTAAATATATAATATAAATGAATGATGTAATGTGTTTAGGGAAGAAATATATAAATAATTAAATATGTGATACAAATGAGTTATGCGATTTGACGTTTGAGTCTGACAAAAAGATGATAGGTAAGGTAAGTGATTGGTGATGATTTTGAGGGAAAAAATACAAATGAGATAAAATTCAAACATACTCCTATTTTATTACATACATATTAAATATTTCAGGAATCAAAATAATATAATTAAAATATTAAAAACTAAAATAAGTTAAATTTCTCACTTTAGGACCTTCATTATAATTAACCCTTTAATTACAAACAAAAATCAACCAAACTAAATCCAAACTTAGCTTGGTCGGACCAATTTGGCAATCGTACTTGTCAGAACCCCAGCAAGAAAAGAAAGTCAGAATAATCATACATGTGATAAATTGGATCTCCCGGGCTCCGTTCAACCAACAAAATACGAACATTTTAGACCATTGGCATGGTTTTCCTCACACGGCAAACCAGTTTGGGTACCTCAATTTTCCATGGATGAAAACCAGATGGGTCTTCCAAAAACTGAGCCCCCACCTTCCCAATTGGGCTTCCTCTCTCATCTTCCCCTTCAAACCCTCAACTTCCCGACACCCTTCTTCAGAAACTACAAGATTTGTCCTCAACCATGTAGACATAACCCTCCTCCTCTCCATTTGTGGAAGAGAAGGCTATCTCCATCTGGGTACTTCCCTCCATGCCTCAATCCTTAAAAACCCTGAGTTTTTGGGTCTCAGTAATCCTTTTACGTACCGAAATGCACAGGTTGTTTGGAATTCTCTTTTGAGCATGTACTGCAAATGTGCTGAATTATGGGCTGCAGCCAAAGTGTTTGATCAAATGCCCATGAAAGACACTATATCGGGGAATTCGATGATTTCTGGGTTGTTGAGAAATGGGGAGTTAGAAATGGGGTTTAAGTATTTCAAAAGAATGTGCGATTCTTATACATATCCCATTGATCATGCAAGCTTAACTACGGTTTTATCAGCTTGTGATGGACCGGATTTACACTATGTTAATAAGATGATTCATGGATTAGTGTTTTTAAATGGCTATGAGGGGCATATTTCAGTGGGGAATGCTTTGGTAACATCATATTTTAAATGTGAGTGTTTTGACTTGGGAAGGCAGGTTTTTGATGAGATGATTGAGAAGAATGTTATTACTTGGACAGCTGTAATAACAAGTCTTACACAAAATGAATTTTATGAGAAAAGTTTGGAGTTGTTTGTGAAAATGCGGCGTGGATTAGTGGAACCCAATTTTTTGACGTATTTAAGTGCATTGTTAGCGTGTTCTGGTATGCAGGCCCTCAGGGAAGGATGTCAAATTCACGGGCTGTGTTCGAAGTTGGGAATTCAATCAGATTTGTGTGTTGAAAGTGCATTGATGGATATGTACTCAAAATGCGGTAGTGTAGAAGATGCATGGCAAATTTTTGAGTCTGCTGAGGTTCTTGATGAGGTTTCATTGACTGTGATTCTGGTGGGATTTACACAAAATGGGTTTAAGGAGGAGGCTATTCAGATTTTTGTGAAGATGGTAAAGGAGGGAATGGAGATTGATGCAAACATGGTTTCAGCTATTCTTGGGGTGTTTGGCATTGACACTTCGTTGGCTCTTGGTAAGCAAATTCACACATTAGTCATCAAAAGGGGCTTCATTTCTAATCCCTTTGTCAGCAATGGGCTAATCAACATGTACTCCAAGTGTGGTGATTTGCAGGAGTCTCTTAGAGTTTTTGATCGGATGCATCCGAGGAACCTCATCTCATGGAATTCCATGATTGCAGCTTTTGCTCGTCATGGGAATGGCATCAAAGCACTTCAACTATATGAAGAAATGAGATTTGAAGGAGTAGAGCCAACCGATGTTACATTTCTATCTTTGCTTCATGCATGTAGTCACATTGGTTTAGTAGATAAGGGCATGGAGTTCTTAGAATCCATGGATAGAGTCTATGGGATCAGTCCAAGAATGGAACATTATGCTTGTGTTGTTGACATGTTGGGCCGAGCAGGGCTTTTAAATGAAGCTAAGGTATTTATTGAGGGACTTCCTGTAAAGCCAGGTATACTGGTTTGGCAAGCATTAATTGGTGCTTGTAGCTTTCGTGGTGATTCTGAAATGGGAAAGTATGCAGCTGATCAGTTGTTTTTGTCTGCACCTGATAGTCCAGCACCTTATATTTTGATGGCCAATATTTATTCTTCTGAAGGGAGATGGAAAGACAGAGCGAGAACTATTAGGAGAATGAAGGAGATGGGAGTGGTGAAAGAAACGGCGGTAAGTTGGATAGAGATTGAGAAGGAGGTCCACAGCTTTGTTGTTGCTGATCAAATCCATCCACAAGGTGAAAGAATTTATGGTGTCTTGTTAGAGCTGTTTAGACACATGCAAGATGAAGGATATGTGCCAGATAAAAGGTTTATTCTATTCTGTTTGGATGAAAAGGATGGAGTCAGTATGTGCTATTAATTCGTATGTGGATTCTGATGATTAGTACTGAAAAGTGGACAAACAGATGGCGACAAAAATGTTAATTCCGTGGTCGTCGCCATTCTGTGCTTACCAAAGGTCTCTTGTCTTCACTGGAATTTGTGATATAAAGTGAGCTGTTAACTGGTGCATGTTGGCTTAGTGTATTTGGACACTTGGATTCTTTTCAAAATTAGAAATAGGTAAGTAATGAGATCTTGGTTTTGGTCATCTATTTGCTGAATGAGTGATTAATATCAGAGAAGGCTTCAATTTGAAATTAAGAAAAATAAGGAACAGTACATGGAAGCAGCCATGGGTAAATGTGGTGTAAAAGAGCAAACTAGTCACACTTTCTTCATAAACTTATGAACAACTATTGAAGGTTAATAGGGGCCTTTCAGCTCAACCTATCACTACAAATGCACATCCAAGGCCCTGTTTGTGAGTTGCTAACGTAAAATCGTGGACCAAACCAGCTAGGAGTTAGCTGGAATTTGTTGCAAAATTCCCGACTTTTCTTTTTGCCTCCAGAAAGTAATGATGTAAGCAAGTTTTATGAAAGGAAAAGGAGAGAAAAGGAAATTCAAGTTCTGCCTATCCATAGGTCCGCTTGGTCAGTCTTGGATCAAGTCCAAATGAAGAGACAAAACAAACCACATATGTCCACGTAGTCAGATGCGATGGAGAGAACTCTTCGAGGCCGGGCCGCAAATGGTATGGGATAGCTTTCCGATGTTTTATATCTCTATTGATGAACACCAATTTCTGGGGAATTTTGAAGAATATCCATATTATAGGACCTTGATCAAAGTATCCTCTCTATGTTTGATAAATTTTTGAAACATATTGACCTTAACATTTCAACTTTTACACTTCCATTGGATTTATTTCTCGGTTGTCAACCGTAGACGGCATCTCTAGCTGGCTACTTATTCACTCGTTCATACTCAGTGGGAGTTATTTACCCAAATACGGTAATTTTAAAACAAATTTACCAAAATACAGTACTTTTAAATTCATTTACTAGACTACGGCATTTTTTTAGAAGTGGATTCAATAACAACGCTTTTATTAAAAAGCAGATTCAACAACCCGCTGTAATGGGTTGATTAAATAACTCTACTCAGTAGAGTAGTTCTCCAGGTTTTCAAGTGGTAGTACATCTTTCAGTATTCTTACCCAAAGTTAAGAGCTCTTAACTCTACATCATAATGTCTATGGAAAATTTTACTGAACTTCTACTTAAATCTTGTGGACACAGAGTATGTTAGTTTATGTAGTCCATCTCTTCTTCTGAACTTTATGGAGACAAATGAAGCTAAAGTCAATTTACTTTGTGTTGTGACCCTGTGGGTGGAGGGCCTTAACTCCTTAGAAGATTGTGTATGCTAAAGAATGTCATTTAGTTTTGAAAAATGGACGCAATGATCCTTATAGGTCATTATTTTATTTTCTACGAGAGATTTTCTTTGACATTGCACAAATACAAATGGGTTGACATTAGTTGCATTTGGCCAAGAGAAGGGAAAGGTATTGGATTTTGATTTTTCACTTTGCTCCTCAGGCATATGCAGGAATGACTGGAGACCAAAGAAAGGTGCATATGGTTTGAGAAAGAGCTAACGATCTTTGAGGGAGGGTTCAAACTTTAAAGTGGGTGGCCTCTGTGTGTATCAAGTCTATTTTCTGTGTAATAACAGCTCTCTGTTGTCTCGTTATTGAGAAATCTGCAAGGTACTCTATACTAGGAGTGAAATGGGTGTTGAGAAGTTACTTCATTAGTTCATTGTACAAACATAACAGGAAAAAGAAAACAGCGAGAACACCTTTTAGTTCTCTAAAATCAACCTTTTCTTCTCAAAACTTTTGGAAATTATTCTGAAAAAATAATTTGAGAAGAGTTTTTATATTTCAAAAAATAGTATTCAAAAATATTTTTTGAGAAAAATTTTAAGAAAGGATTTTTAAAAAATTTTAGATTACAGTTTGGTTATATATTTTTAAAAATAATTTAAAAAAATAAAATTTATTTGGACAATAATTCACAATTTTCACCGCTACTTCAATGTCTCTCTTTCTTCAATTCTCTGTCTATCTCTCTGTCACCCAAAAAAATCACCACCGGAGTACTCAACTCTCTGTCTATCTATCTCCTTCAACTCTCTGTCATCCAAAAAAACCACCACCGGAGCACCCAAAAACCCACAACTATCCAAAAAAACCACCACTAAACCACCCAAAAAAATCACCATCGAACCACCCAAAATCACTCAGAACCACCTATACAGCAACAACCGAACCCAGAGCCACCCAAAAGAGAGAGAAAGAGGCGGATAAGAAGTTGCGAAAGAGAGATAAAGAGGCGGTGGAGGCACAGCTATACTCAGATCTCTTCTCTCTTTTTTGTGAGGCGGTGGAGACTGCTCACTGAAGTGGTGAAGGTAGTGAGGCGGTGGAGGCAACTCAGTGAGTGAGGCAGTGGATGTAGTGAGGTGATGGAGGTAGTGGATTCAGTGAGGCGGTGGAGGCAGTCAAGTGGTGGAGGCAATGAGGCGGTGGAGAGAGCTCAGCGGTAGAGGGAGCTCAGCGGTGAAAGTTGCCTCTATTTTTTGTCTCCAATGAAAGTCGAAGGGTTAGACCTCATTAATTTGGGAGCAAGTTGTTTCCCTGTTTTCATTTTGCCCTACAAAATAACGAGAACATCATTATATTGCTCTCTAAAATCACATCTCATTTTTTAAAATTTTAAAAAAAACTTGGAGAATAAAAAAATTAAACAAACAGCATCTCCTTATTTTTAGAATTTTAAAAACAAAAAATAATTTTTAAAAATCAAATCAAACACGCCCTAGATTGTCCAAACAAGTTTTCACTTGTTTTTTGTTTCAGAAAACAAATAACTTATTTTGGAAATACAATTCAAACAGGTCTTAGTTTTCTTTCTTTTCTTGGTAATTGAACAAAAAGTAATGTTATTGGGACTTAATTTATTGACCTAATTCACTATAATCTTTGGATTAACTGTAAGCTCCATCAAACATTGGAACTTAGTGTTTATTCAATGATTCTAATGAAATCATGTCATTAAGTCAGTAAATTATGTCAAATTTTTACGTCCAAATAGTATTTTCCTTGAACAAAAATGTGGCGCCGTTATCTATAATGGAAGCCAAGAACTTTTGTGGGACGATGAGTTTCTCACAAAACTATTTTATTGAGTTCTTTTTTTCTTTTTTTTTTGTTACACGTGTTATTCTTATCCTTGTATATACCTATATCTATCTATAATATAAAATTGGGTAAACTGCAATAAACTTATCCGACAGCCTCAAATAAAATTATTTAACGGTCAGCAATAATTTCTTTCAAAATCATTCATATTATTATATTTTCAGGTACGAGTTATCTCTCGTGTATATATATATATTGTGTCGAGTGGTGGTGGGTGTATGGTGATGATCATTACTAGAACCATGACAATTAAAATTTTGTCCTCTAATCCATGAGCCTAATCCAATACAAACAAAAAAAAATCACAAATCTTTAATACACAATAAATAAGTATTACAAGATTTAAAATTTTGTTAAATAGCCAATAACTAACCTAAGCCAAACATTAAAATACCAAATTAATAAATGTGAAAAGACATCTTAGTCCAAAACATATTAAACTCAAAACAAATTGACAACCAAAAAACATTTTATGTCTCAAATAAGTCAAAACAATTTAACATATTTTTAATTAAACTTCACTGAAACGACGTCTTCAATCATAACTAAAATTAAAGTGTATTATGAAGTGGAGCCTTACCATTTATTATTGTAGCAAGTTTGGAATTTGAGTTGATACCATTTGCAAGAAATATTGGCAACTCACCTTTGATTTGTGTCAAAAACCTTCTGCCCAGTCGAGAGAGAGAGAGAGGTGTATGTGAGGGGGGAGGGGGAGAGAGAAAAACCTAGGAAGAGGAGTTTTGAGAACGAAACCTGAGAATTGTGGACTGAATTGGGCAGGATCAAAACTTTTTGGGCAAAAAATTAAATTTGGATAGTTGATTTTATCTGTCGGATTAACTATGATTAGTTACCAATTAATATGAAACCTTCAAACGAATTTATAAAATGGAGGATGCAAAATTTCTTATACTTTATTATGGGAGACGAGGGGATTGGAATCCTCTCTATTTATGTGTACTAGGCAATATCCTCAGCATTATAAAACTGTAAAATTTAAAGGGTGTGTTTAGATGCCTACAATGGATGGATTGGATAGATTAAGCTTTTTTTTATCCTTTCCGATCCAATTCAAATCATTCCAACCACTGTATTGACTTGGATTTTGAGTTATTGTCCTCCAAGCCATTGTTTGGAGAAATTTTTCAATGGGTTTAACACACCACGTGGCAATGTCATGTGGTATATTTCTTTAATAGTTATCAATACTATGCAGAGTTTAATTAGATTATTTATTCTATGGTATTATTATTGTAATGATAGAAATGTCTTGTATCAACTCTAATTCTATGGTATTAATAACGAAAACTCTTGAATCCAATATACTGCTGGTTGATTCTAATAAAGAAGACTTCAAGTAGTCTTTTAAAATCAAAACAATATAATCCTAATTTGACTAATAAAATAATTATACTATTAATAAACTATTACATCTAATGGATTTTCTTATACCAGAATTAAAAAAAAAAAAAAGCATTTCACGAACAAAGCTAAAAATATACTTCTCACAAATAATGACCCCTTAAAACATCTCACAAAGAAAAATTTAATAGAAGATGTGACCACAAAACCCAAAACATGAATATCCTCAAATAAGCAACTGGGCACTGTACATGTGCAGGTCAAAAATTAAGAAAAATATTAATCCACGATTTTGCCCTTCTTAAACTTTAATTTTTTTTTCTTCTGGTCGACTTTTTTTTTCTTTTTAATAATCATTTGGTTGCAAAAGTAGGAAAAATAATGTGGTTCGAGGTACTTGGCAGGAATTTTTTGGGGTTTTCCTCTCTGTTGTAATATATTTTCAAGTTTGTTGTTATCTATTAAAGTGATATGAAATAAAATTAATATGTTAGGATATAATATAAAAAATTTTATAATTAAGGGTACAAAGTAAAATAAAGTAATAATTCCGAGGGATAAAATATAATTTACTCTTTGAGCGAAAACTTCGATAAAAAAGAATAGCATGAAGCATATAATTCATCTATTCTCTACCATTTGACTTGCACCACTTTTAAGAGAAATGGGTCAGAGATCTGGGTTAAGGCGACTATTCATCAATTATCTACGACTTTTGTCTTGACAAAGATCTGATCCGGCGTGAAGTTAGCAGCGACAAGAAGATCTCGATAGATGATCAGCTGCAACGAGAAGATTCTTTGATCACAAATGAATCGTTTTCAGATTTTTGTCGAATTTATTTTGAAACGCTCTCAAATGGCAGTAGGTGTTGGAACCTGGTTTGTGTTTGCACAGTAGGGGCAAGAATTGGTTTAGTAGACTCTTGATATTTAAAATATTATATTAAAATCTCTTAAAATTTATGCGTGCATAATATTTAGATTTTTATCGTCAATCCGTTCGTACATGCATATAATACTTAAATCTCTTGAATTTAAAATGTTCTATTTAAACAAAAAAAATATTCTAATCAAAGATAGAATATCAAATATTTTAAATTTTATAATCAAAATTTATGTTATATTGTATTATTTATTGAAATAAAATTAAAAATAAAAATCTATTTTTTCTTAAAATGTCAAATGTCAAGAGATTTGAGTGATTAAGTGACAAATTTCAAGGATTATGAGTTTAATACTCTCTTTTTGTTATGAGAAATGCTATTGGGACAATTAACCTAATTTATTCTAGCAATTTGATTGAATGCGCATCCCATGAAACATTGGAACTTAATGTTAATCTAACAGTTACAATAAAATCACATCATTAGATCAGCAAATTAAATCATTTTTTTAAATCTCAATGGCATTACTCTTTTGTTATTATCCTGACTTTTTGGTTGCCTATATATTGAGTCCCAATTTCAATAATTGAAATGGTTAAATAAATTTAATTTAATTTATTTAGAGTTCAAGACATTAAAATTGGACCAAATTCACGGTTTAAAAATTTGCATATTTCAATGCCAAGTATATTAGGTAAAATTAAGTTTTAATTTTAATGACTGAAATAAAATAAAATAAATTTTTATTATCCTAGACATTAAAATTAGATAAATTTCATTATTTTAGAGATAAAATTTATTTAGCTAATATTTTGATAAAGTTTATCTAGGTAATATTTTCATAAAGTTTATTTACCAAATCACAGAGATAAAATTTATCTAGCTAATATTTTGGAAGTCAAGTAAGTATGAAAGACAGGACAATATGTGGATATAATTGATTTTATGATAATAATTAAGGTTGTATCACCTAAAAATTACTAATACATGATATTAGAATTCTAGTAGAGTTTGTATAATGAATAGAAAAAAAAATGTATTGTCATTGAGATAAAATTTATCTATCAAGTCATAGAGATAAAGTTTATCGAGTTAATATTTTGATAAAATTTATCTAGGTAATATTTTGATAAAGTTTATCTACTAAATCATAGAAATAAAGTTTATCTAGCTAATATTTTGGAAGTCAAGTAGGTATGAAAGACATGACAATATGTGTATATAATTGGCTTTATGATAATAATTAAGGGTGAAATAGGAAATCAAAATTTTTCATATATGCTGACATTTATAAGTAGTATAGATATATATAATAATGAATTTCGATGGTTGCGTTTATCACCTTAAAAATAGCAATTTTTTTTTCACATCATATTAGAATTCTAGTTAAATTTGTAGAATTGCATGGAAAAGAAGAATATACTGGTAAGTCATGGTGATAAAATTTATCTAGTAAAAATTTTGGAAGTTATATAGATAAATTTTATCTAACTAATATATAATGATAAAATTTATCCAGCAAAAAATTGTAATATTAGTGATAAAGTTTATCCATCAAAAAATTTAGTAGTTATATTAAAAAAGTTTATCTTGCTAATATTTTGTGGGCATAATTGTCTTTAATGTAATAATTAGGGGAGAAATAAGAAATTAAAAATTTTTCCCAGATACTGACATTTATAAGTAGTATAGATATAGATTAGTCTGATCATTTTGTTTTGAGTGAGTTCACTATTTTTTACTGTTTTTGAGTTTACTAATTTTCACTGTTTTTAAGTTTACTAAATTTCATTACTTTTTGAGTTCCTTGTTTTTTACTATATTTTGAATTCACTGTTTTTGAGTGTGCGTGTTAGATGATGAAAGATAGTGTAGAGAAAAAATAATTTAAGAAGGGGAGAGAGAGACGGGGGTGTGTGATGAAAATAATTATATTTCTTAATTTTCTGTAGCTCATTGTTTATGAAAATTTGGACAATGAATTACAAGTTTCATTCCATTAAGATTCACTATTTGTAAATTTTTTTTAAACTAGGAGTTTCATTCTATTAAGGTTTGTTGTTTTTGGAATTCATTGTTTATATTTTTTTCAATATTTTTTGAGTTCATTATTTTTCATAAATATTTTTCAATTCAAAATTTTTATTTTTTTTGTAATTTACTGTTTGTGAAAATTTTAGATAGTGAACCACGAGTTGTATTCTATTAAGTTTATCATTTATGTTTTTTTTTTCAATATTTTGAGTTCATTAGTTTTTTACTATTTTTAATAGTGGATTATGAGTGGTGGTGATTAGCAGTGGTGGTGGTTGTTCACTGTAATTTAGTTCACAGTGATCTAAGAGTTTTCTTCTATTAAAGTTTCTTGTTTGTTAAAATTTTGTGAAGTAGGAATTTAATTCTATTAAAGATTATTGTTTATGTTTTTTTCTAATATTTTTGATATATATTTTTCAATTCGAATTTTTAGTTTTTTGGCAGTTCACTCTTTGTGAAAATTTTGGACAATGAATTTTGGAGTTTTTATTCTATTAAATTTTATTGTTTTGTGAAAATTTTGTAAATTAAGACTTTAATTATATAAAAATTCAATGCTTATGTTTTTTTCAATATTTTTGAGCACACTAAATTTTCACTATTTTTGATTGTGTGGTGATGGCGATGATGATGGTGGGGTGACAATGGGTGGGTGGTGGCGGATGGTGGTGACGGCATGTGGTGTTTGTGGGTGGAGGTAAGTAATTGTGGTGGTGGCAATGGGGGGCGGGTTGGTGGTGTTTAGTGATGGGTGGTGATGATGGCAACAGGTGGTGGTGGTGGTGGTGGAGGTGGGCAGCGATGGTGGTGGTGGTGGGCGGCGATGATGGTAATATTGGTGGCGATAGCGAACGGTGGCGATGGTTGGTGGTGACATCGGCAATGGTGATGGTGGATGGCGATGGGTGATGGTAGTTGTTGGTGGTAGTGGGTGGTTGTTGGCTGCAATGGATATGGTGATGGCGGCAACATTGGTGGTGGTTGGATTATGTTGGTAATGGTAATAAATATAAGAAAAATAATGCTACTTGTACAAAAAATATTCATAATATTTCTTGACTTTCAATATAACTATCATTGATTTAACTATCAATTCTAATATTTATTGGGTTTCACTACCTTGTCGGCTGTTGTGATTGAAAGAGTCGGCAAAATGTGTCAATATTTTTGTTCCAAATAGCAATTCTCATATAAGAATAGGATAATGATGCAAGTTTTTAAATAACTGCATTCATTAAAGAAATATATTTTTGTCAAGTGTTGATTTTTATTGACTTTTGACCTTAAAAATGTCAAGGTTTAATCTAAAGTTTATGAATGTGTACCTATCACCAAATCTCCTAAAAAATTTTTTTGCTTTTGCTCAAAAATCTTTTATTTTTTTGGTCATGAAAGTAAACATTGCATTAAAAACTAAATATATTATCCATTACATACTTTTGAAATTAGCCTACACCAACTCTTGCTTCTTGCCTAATGATACTCATGAGTGTATCTAGTGGGTTAACTACCCACTGGTCATGAAGCTTTCCTTTCCTGGCATGTACTGCAGGTGTATGAGCAGCTTTGTTATGATCTCTACATACGGCTTGAAATTCAATGGAGGGGACTCGTTGAGCATAACTTCAGATGTCCTGTTGAATGGATGCAATCTTTGACCTAATTTTGAGATATAAAACTAATAGACACAAAAAATAAAAGAAAGATATCCCCATATTCAAATCATGTCGTGGGGGACCATTTTGTTAGAACATGCGAACATATACGAATGGAAGGATTAATAGGAATCTTATAATCCCAATTGAAAATTTTGAACCAAATAAAAAGTCAGTACGTATTCAAGACCTAAGGGAATTGAAACAGAATCATAACCTTCATTTTTCATTCCTTTTTTGATCAGAAACGTAAACAACTCATGTGAAAACGATTTATTTTGACAATAGTTTCACAACACACCTCAAATACCAAAATTAAAACATAATAATTATGTAACCAGACGTCAAACGAATTTAGATATCTCTCAAATATTTTTTCACTATTTTTTTTTTACTTCAGAAGTCTCATAACTATACTTAAACGATTCAGTAAAAATTAATATATTTATTTATATTACATATAAATATCAATATGGGTGAAATTTTTTGATTTTTTAATTTATCCCTAATAATTATTATAAATTCAATTCTACCCACATATTAATTTAATTTGATTTTTATTTTTTATATGTATTTGATTTTTAAGTTCTTTTGAACTCTTTTTGACTTGTAAATTCTTGTGGACTCATTTATTAGTAGTACACTTATATACAATTTTTATATAATTTATAATTTATTATTTAAATAAATTACAAATAAAAATTAAATTTTTTATAAAAAATATTATTTAAATATATTCCTGACACTTGTTGTATGCCCCCAAAATTTGATAACCACATGTATGGCAATAGAGTGGATCACAATAATCTGATCATGGTCCAAACCCAAATGAGAGCCAAGTAACAGATAGTACAGTGTGCATTTCCGATGGACTGATAAAGTTCAGAAGGAGAGAGATGGGATGCTTATACAACAATAATACCGTTGGAATCTCCCCTCTCTTTCCAAAAACCGTTAACAATCTTAACGGTCACAATTTCCTCTCCACTTGCTCATTCGAATGGCCTATCAGTCCAAATCGGAAGTACCCACTTTACTTCGCTTCTTTTTCACCATCTCCATTTACAGTATATTGTAGTGGGAGTACTGGAGATGAACCTTTGTCCACTTCCTCTGCTTATAGTGTGCTTGGCGTTATCCCTAACTGCTCTCCGTCCGACCTCAAAGCTGCTTTCCGGGCCAAAGTATGCACACTTTGCCTTTTGGATCATTTCCAGAATTGTTACCATTTTTTGTCCTTTTTTGTTTTTTTTTTTTAAACATTTCTTTGGGATTTCTGGGCTCATTATGAGTTTTTGAGGAGATAAATTATCTTCTTGATTTGATTTTCGTATCTATGTATCAAGTTATTTTCCTTTTTTTTTCTAATACAGGTCAAACAGTTTCATCCTGATGTAAGAAGAGATGGGGAAAGGTCAGATGCAATGATTCGTCGTGTAATTCAAGCCTATGAGGTATTAAATTTATTTTAAAAATGTTATACCAATTATTTGGTTGGTTTTTCTATTCGATTTTCATGAAATGAAAGTGAAGGCCAAGGATATGAAATGACAAACTTTCATTTAGGATAAATCTATTAACATAATAGAAAATTTCACATAATTCATAAAACGTTGGGTGGGGAATGAAGTCTCTTTTAGATGGACAATCCATCCAATTGATAGACTGAGAAATGGGAAGACCTCAACTACGGTGGGTGGGAAGGACTATAGTTTTGATAATTGAGATATCGCCTTTTTTTATTAGGCTTAATTCAAGAAAGTTGGAGAAATTTTCGTCAGAATAGGATTTCATCCATAGTAGTTATGAGAAGTTAAGGCGTATCACTTAAATGATCTCCTATCCTCTTGTTCAATACTGTAAGTTATTGTAGGGCCTCATGAATTCTATTACTTTTGCCTTTTGTTATTTGTCAAATCATCAAAGTTTTCCCACATTTCCATGTGCCAGATTGTTATTGAATTCTGATTCTTACCGTTTGTTGATGAGCATAACCGAGTATTGTTGTTTAATAATGTGTGCAGATATTATCAAACTACAGCAAATCAGAAATCATTGAGAGGTAAACACACATTTCATTCTTTTTAGAATATTGTATTGGGGGTGTATCTATAGATTCTTACACCACCCGGGGCCCATTTTTCCTTTTTATCATGCATTGTTCTTTTTTCTTGATTGGCTTGTGTCTCATGACTACTATAATTTGGAAATTCAACACTTTTCTTCATAGTATTTTCAAAATTGTCGTAGCTCATAATCTTTTATGCCTTTTATGACTCATAATCTGCAATCCTCACCAATTTTCTTGCTGTGCTTCACTATGTGTGCTGTATACATATGTTTGTGTGTGTTTTGCATTGTCATGTTAACCACTAGAGATGCATTTTGTAGGGAATGTCTGGATCCCTTTGATGAACCAGAATGTGAGGCATTTGATCTCTTCGTTAATGAGGTTCTTTGTGTTGGCCAAGGTATTAATTCCTGCATTCTGTATTTTACCATTTACCTTATATATCGACAACTAACTCAGCTTGTCATATTTTTCATATATTCTCCTTGACTCAAACTGAAAGCTAGAAAAACTGAGTATGGAGTTCCAGTTTTTTTTATTTCCCTCTCCAAACAAGTAAAAGCTGGTAAGAGCAAACCCTTAAACAAACTTGTGTTTGTAGGATTGTGATGTTGTCAATTGGGCGTAATCATTGAATAGAAATGCATCTTTATCCTGTTTTGTATTATTTGGGTACTTGGGATCACAGTGAGAAAATTAGTTCTTTCCTGAGGATAATGTTTTTCACTTGCTGGACTGAGCAGAAAATTCAGCAAACGGTTGTAGAGCTTAACAGAGTACTCATAAAGCTTTCAGTTGGATCATCATGCAACCGTATAATATTAACAATTATGCACAACAGGTCCTATTCAAAGCTCACTTTGTTGCATAATATTGTACTCAAGTTACACTATTGAATTATCCATCATCTAATACCTGAAGCTCGTGGGCTAATCCATGAGCACTAATGTTCACATAAATTTCTGGCATTTTGTCTAGACAGATTAACTTTAGCTGGAACTCCAATGGTTTTCTGATAATATCTTTAGGAAACTTCATGAAATATATCATTGAGATTTACAAATATATTGAGTTAGGGATTTTTTACCCAAAAATTCATTATAGATAACACTGGATAATTATGAGGTTTTTAATTTTGCTTATCTAGGAGAGAAGTAGTATGTTGATAGATTGTGAGATAGTACTGCATTTATCCAAAATTCATACCAAACCCCTCATTTGAAGACTTTTTTTCCTTTTTTTTTAAAAAGAAAAGCTCTGTTAGCTCTTAGCTGCTGTTGTGCAGATAATATTTATCCAGGTGCAGTGCTTTTTCAAGTTGTGCTTTTTATTCAGTTTTGAGAGCCACGAAGCTGTATGTTCTGTTTAGCTTTCCTTGGGCTGTCCTCATTTGACATTTCTATAGGTTGTCCATTTCCATGCGTTAAGAGAGCACCCGATGCATTCACTTTTGCTTCTTCAACCGGAACTGCACGAGCCCTTGGTCAAGGTTGGTCTATTTCTTTTCTTTTTTTTTTTTCTGTTATTTTGGTTGCCAAAGAGAAAAATTTCCTTTTGGTTTATAGTTTTGATCACCTGTAAAATGCAAATGTTTAAAAAAAAATCATAAACATAACGAAAATGAAGAAAAAATTTAGAATCTTAGTTTCAAAAACATTAGCCAAAACATCCTGAAATATCTCGAAACATTTTGGTATTCAATCTTTCAGTTTAGTTTCCACTGAAACCAAAATGTTTCATTTGTTTCGTTGAATTGAAGGGAAGTTTTGATCCTTGGTGGTTGAATATAAGAAAATAGCAGGTAGGGGGAAAGAATGACAAAACATAATTGTCTTATCTTTCGGATTCAGATATATTCCTATCTAATTGGATAGTTCAAAGTAGTGCTATAGTCAAAATCTTGGTTTAAGGTGGGGGTACAATTTTCCCCAAACTGATTTGATAACAAATCTTTTCTAATTTGAATTGGATTATCATATATATGTTCGCAAGTTATATGCATTTCTTTTTTTTAAATATTTTATACCGAACTTTAATAATCCACTTTTTTTTTTTCCATAGTCAACACATCATGCCAAATCCTGTTGAATTATTGTTAAGAGAAAGTGAAGAATTAGAGAAGAGAAAAAGAAAAAAGGAAGAAAGAAAGACGGCTGAGAAGAAGAGAAAAGAGTTAGGGTTCTCTCCCTCAGTCACTTGTATTTATAGTAAGGCTAAAAAGCTTCTAACATTCCCTCAAGCTGGTGCATAGTTATCACACATGCCAGCTTGCCAAAGATATTTGCAAGTTGTGATCCTGTCTTCACAAAAATGGAATACAAATTAAGCTAGCACACAATTTGTCCTTGATGAAATATTTGGGGACCTCAACATGCTTGGTTCTGTCATGCCTTATTATCACAATACTAATGGGTTACTTAGAATTAAACTCAAGTTCATCTAATATGGATTTCAGCCGCAACAATTAAAAAATAGCATGAGCCAGAACTCTTAAGTTCTGCCTCTGCATTAGATTTGACCACAACCGACTATTTTTTGCTACGCCATGATATCAAATTTCATCCTATAAAGATAGAATATCTAGATGTCGATCTTTTGTATGTAATCGATTCACGTCAATCAGCTTTTGAATAGGCTTCCACTTGTGGATGATCATGCTTAGATGGATCAACAGTCTTTGTTTCTTCAGTTTTTTGACTCATAACCCATCTTTCATTAATCCTAACAATAACATAGCTGATTGTGATCAAGGAAGGTAATTGTGGCCATCAAACTTTATTGTTGTATTCTGTAGGTTGGGATTTTGAGTTTGAAGCCTAATCTAACTTGTAGAATTGTTTGACTGTTTTTGAGAGATCGTGCTAGATTCCAACATGCTTAATCTATTTCTACCTCTTCTTAAATGCTAGATACACACCGAATATCTCAAAAAACCAAAAAACAACAAGAAACAACTACTATCTCAAACTAGCATTTAATCAAACCATAAATTACAAAAATGGGTGAAATCATTGCCAAAACACAAAACAGACTGTCGTTGAACAAAAAACTTGCATGTCACCCCCCTGCAGCCGTAAAACTTCGATAAAACAACTTTAGATCACTTGGCAACCCTTGGGCATTTAAAATTGGCATTTCTTGTGTTTATCACAAGCAACAAATCCCTCAAAAAAATGCTAAAAATCTCAGATCTAAAAAAAACCCTATTTTCCCCACAATCAAACAAAAATCGAACGAAGTACCAAATAATCTCAAAAAAATCCAGAAAAATTATAGATAAACTCTACTAATCAAGTTGATCCAGGAATTGTTTTTTATTTATTCATTTTTTTCCGGACAGATGAAAAGGTTCTGAAAAATAGGAAATGTTCTTTCTTGCAGACCAAAAAAACATTGGTTGTATTCTGCAGGTAGATGAATATGAGAACCACAAAAACCTGATCTGATATCATGTTGAATTAATGTAAAGAGAAAGAGAAGAAATAGAGAAGAGGAAAAGAAAAAAAAGAAGAAAAGAAAGATTATTTAGAAAAAGAGAAGAGAGTTAGGGTTCTTTTCCTTTGTCACTTATATTTAAAGTTTTTAAAATTAAACTGACAAAAGTACCCTGCATAATAATAAAGATAAAAATTAAATGGCTAAAGAGCTTCTCACAAATCCAACAGAAATATAACTTCACACGAAAACACCAAAGATGTGGGCAGGGGACGTGCTCTATGATCCGGTGTGTGCCATGTGCTAAACTGTGCTCGCAAATGAGAGTCCCAGATATTTCCCAGGAAAACGGTTACAGAAACTTCCTCTTGCAAGAACAACTGGCCTTAGATCTCTCTACTCATCCATGTCCGATTTTTTTGGGTACAATAAATTGATCTAGAAGGTGGAATTAAGAAATAAATCAGGGGCCAACAATGGATAATCTCTTACCTTTGACCAGTTCAATGGAAACTTAGCTCAACTACTAATTCTAATTCATACATATGACAGTATTCCACCAATCTGAAATGCTTGCAAATTCTTAACTGTGTAATTTGGAAATGTGATAACTGATTGGTGAAAATCTTATTTTTCACAAGATTTGTGCGTTTTACAGAAAAAAATATCGGGTGATTAAATTTTTTTTTTGTCGCTGGGGAAAGAGTTGAACTTGAATGACAGGCTTATTGCCCTACATAAGTTTGAAAAAATGGTGTAGTTCTATTTAGTATTGGAACAATGAAGAATTTTGTATTTCCTGTTATATGTTTGTAATTTTGAAGTTGCTATCCATCTATCAGATCATGGTGAAGATTACCAAGTTCAGCTTGCAGTCGGTCAGTGTCCGAGAAGTTGTATTCATTATGTTACACCTGCTCAAAGAGTTGTTCTGGAGGAGCTACTTGACAGGTTTGGTTGCTACACACTGCAGATCTCATTTAGTGCACTGTAGGGGTTGGGATTTGGGAGTCAATGAAAACTTTCACCCACCAAAAGATGAGGAAGAAAAACTTAATCAAAAGCAACTAACTGTATGGGGATTGGGGAAAACTTCGTAGATTCAGAAAGCAATGAACTGTACCCTGTCAAGGATAAAAGGGGATTCATCAATCAATAGAGCATGGATGTTTATCAATTCGTGACCTGCAAAATAAAAAAATGGATGAGAGGTCCCAACTGACGATTAGCATGCCACATACATGAATGATTAGCATGCCACGTACATGGAAATGGATGACCCATTTCATCAAATGTATAACACTCTTTCTGCTTGTTGCTTGCCCTAGTCTAATTATATTGAGATCCCTTGATTATTACTGACTTTCCAATTTTCCTATTTTTTATGGTTTATCTTTTTTGATAGTATCTTGAACAGACCATATGATACCTCGGCTGAGGCGGACTTGCTTTATTCGCTAATTGTCAAAGCTAAATTTGAGAACAATCGTTACCAAAAGCCAAAGAAGAAACAACCAAAGGTTTCAACCAAACATGTGGATTGGTTTTGAATATGGATTCCCACGGTGATTTAAAGCTAGAATCTCATATTCACTAACCAAAATTGGGCATGCAAACTACAATGCAACTATTTATTTTGAAAAGATTAGAAGCGAATTCTCTTAACCATGATAATTTTCATCTGTACAACTAAATGCTGCTTCTTCAAGTGTTTATCTTGGTGCAATGAAATATAAGGGAGATGTTGGAAACACATTTCAGCGACTGCTCTGTTGAAGATAAGATTCCACAACTGACAGAATCAACAAAATCAATTTCAGTCTATGCTTGATTGCTCATTACAAGATCTCCTACCTTGCCCCCATTGGATGTAGGAAGAGCCTGACTGATCCTTTTGGTAAGGATACCATTGCACATATGATTTGCTTGTAGCTATTACAAATGATATGATCAACATTTGATGGAGGGAACTATACCCTATACATTTAGTCATGGAAGATATTTTTTCTGTTTTTTTGGAGCTCTTGTTTGGTCTACCTGCAATATCATCCTGTTTCCACCATAATTATTTGTTCAAGATCTCATGCTACCACATGTAGCTCCACTTCCCTGGGAAATTACACCCACTCTCTCTCTATCCCCCCCCGGGTGAGACTTTCATCTAGTAATATAATCTCCTAATCAATGGGGCGACACAAATTGTGGATGGGAAACCCATTTGATTCTATGGTTGCTTTGCTGCTTCTGAAATATGTAAAACCAAAAAATTGTGGGGAAGTGAAAGCAGCCTAAGCCAGGGTGAAGAGTCTTGAATCCACATGGGCTGCATAAGGGTTCCGTGTTTGGTATATGAGCTTCTTGCACGTTAGAGCTATTGGGTTTAAGCCTTCCCATGTTTGTGACCCTAGCAAGGGATGAGTATTGTCGATCCCCCATGGGTTTAGCAAGGGTCCCAAGGTGTGTTTGAATCAGGGGTTCCTATGCGATAAAATAATTAAATTGAAGAAATTAGACGTGGGGTCCACTTATACTACAAGAAATTAGATTTTGAGTGGCAAAATTTAGGTTACGGCTAAAAATATCACCACTAAAATTATATTTTTAATGACAAAAAATAGTTATTGTTACTATAAGTCTATAATACTCATCCAAGTATCGCCACAAAAAAAAAAAAACCTAATACTTAGTCACGAATTTGTTGGTGGAACAATGATTTGGTGGTGATAATTAGTCATTACCACTAATGGTTTATATGACAAATATTCAATGACTAAAATATAAAAATAGTCTCTAATGATATTTTATTTTTACTGACTACATTTCTTTATCGTAATTATCTACCTTAATTGTCAAATGTAGAGCCGACATTTGTCTTGGATAAAGCAGGATGTCGAGTCTAAATAGGTTCGTGTCAAAAATAGCTTAATACATATAGGGCTTTTTAATTATTAGGGTCTAGACTATAAAATACGAACACGACTAGAACGGGTGTCAACTGTGTCGAGTTAAATGATTACGAGTCGGTTAAATGGGTGACAAGTGAAAAATCACTAAACACGTACACAACTCACTTAGATAAAGGGGTGAAAAAATTTATAACCGAACACGATTCACTTAGATAAACGGGTGTAAAACATTTAACCAAACATGACTAGTTTAATAATCGGGTTACACAAACGACTCATCTAACCCGTTTATTAAATAAGTTGAATTGGGTAGGGTCGGATTAATACGGTAACCCTTTTAACACCCCACAAGTTAGACTCGTTTAACCTATTTGTTTAACAACGAGTAGCGATCAATGATCAGACACCGATGAGCACAGAGAGAGAGAGAGAGAGAGAGAGAGAGAGAGAGAGAGAGAGAGAGCCAGACCTTGAGGCTTCAGTTCCACTAGAGAGGATTGATGAGGTTGCGGACCAGAAGAGAAGGCATAGAGTTAGAGACTTAGAGTTAGGAATTAGGAAATGTTTTTGTTATTTTGACTTATATATTTTTTGGGTAAATTTGTTTTTCAATAATAATAATAATTATTATATTAATAAACATTCAATATTATTCTGTTTCTTCATAGACTGTGATGGATATCCATATTTTCTTTTCTTTTATCTGAATTTATTTCAACGAATCAACCTCTAGTATTATTAGAGGAACTATCACGATGACCCTTCACAAATAAACCCTCGGCTTAAGCATGACTGCCTTTACCATTTAATTTAGTATGCAACTCTTTAGAATTCGAAGAGTATTTCTTATCAACTAAAGAGATCGAGTCTCTCCCATACAACATTAAATTAACAAAACTGTCAAACAAATTAGGCAGTGAATATAACACAATTAGGACTTGATCTTCATCCCAATTTTAACATCAATATTTTTCAAGTCCATAATAATTTTGTTAAATTCATCAAGATATTCATTAATGGGTGTAAATTCCTTCATCTTGAGTGTATACAATTGTTGCTTCAGATACAAACGGTTGGAGAGAGACTTCTTTATATATAAACTCTCCAACTTTTTTTAGAGCCTTTCAACTTTGTCTTCATTGATGACCTCATGAAGAACTTCATCAACAAGAGATAACTGAATTACACTTTGTGCTTTATCTTTAATATCAACAATTTTAGTCTTATCGATCTCCTTGGATTGAGATCCAACAATGGCTTTTGTTAAACCCTGTTGTCAAAGTACTGCCTACATCTTAATATGTCATAAACTAGAATTATTCTGACCATCAAATTTTTTTATCTCGAATTTTGCTCTACCCATCCTGACACCGAGGCTCTAATACCAATTTGTTATGAACCAAAGCCACAAGTAAAATAAAACACAACGAAATAGAAAAATAGAACACACAAGAATTATGTGATTTAATTATCAAATGTTGAAGATTACAACACCATTCTCGATAAACAAAGCAACAAGAGAACTTGTTTCCTGTATCACTATTACAAAATTAATAGTGCCAAAAAAAACTTCTTTCCAATAAAATTGGTGTTCTCAAGAAAGACCCAAAAAATAGAGCAAACCCAAATTTCCTTCAAAAGCAAAGTCGTTGACTTTAATCAATGGCAAAGTCAACAGAAACTCTATATAGTTTGTAAACAGCAAAAAAAAAAAAAAAAAATTTATATTGAATTCTCGTTACTTTTGGACAAAGGTAATAAAACTCCTTTTAGGCTTTGCACAACAAGAGTTCTGCATGGAATCCACCTCCTAATTAGGAATTAAACTAATCTTGCAAGACAAAGACTTCTCCAAGAAATAAACTAACGTGTCTCACCAAACATGAAGACCCTTTGAGATATTTTAATTTCAATGAAACACTTTATCGTATGTCATGGTCCAAACGGTAAATCCAATTAGATTTGGAATACAAGTCATACATAACACTAAATTTGATTGATAACCGTGTTTGGTTGTATGTGCTAGACAGTTGGAGCCCTCTGATGGCTAGCACAGCGGTTGAAGGTGTTGAAGTCGTTAGTGAACCAAAATCCCTAAATGTTTAGTCTAAAATGGAGTACAAATTTGTAGGGTGGAACTGGAAAGGATTGAATGCGATATTCAATGCCTTGATACCTAACAAGTTCTAGAGGATCTCTAATTGTGAGACTTCCAAAGAGGCATGAGATATCTTACAAGTTTCTCATGATGGGACGAACACCTTTAGTAAAGATGTATCGTCTCCAAAGGTACACCTCTTAGTTCGAGACTTCGAAGATGCAAGACAATAAAAAAATTAGCAATTTCTATTCTAGATTGAGCGATATTATAAATTCATCATTTGTATTGGATACCAAGTTGATGACTCTGCAGTCAAATGGAAAATCTTGAGATCTCTACTAGATAGGTTTCATGCTAAGGTGACGTCCTTAAAAACTGAAGTCAATTTGGAGATGGTTTTAATAGAAAACCTATTTGGGTCTATTTTGAATTTTGAGATGAATCTCCAACCGCCCAAGAAACCAAAGGGCATGATATTGAGCTCAATACGAGAAGAGGGAGATGAATACAAGTTAGCTTGTTTGGGAAAAGATGACCTAGCGTACTTTGCAAGAAAGTTTAGGAAGCACATCAAGGCTAGAGAAGTTGAATCCTAAGGATCGAAAGATAAGTCGAGTAAACCTAAAATTCCCAAAGAAGGAGGAGAAAATAAAGAAGAAAAGAAAGGGGGCAAGGACTTCAATGCTATAAGTGCCAAGGGCTTGGACACATGACTTGGAAATGTCCTAATCAGAAGAAGAAAGGTTGTTCATAGAGAGGAAAAAAAAAATAAAGTGAGTTTGAGTCAGAAACAAGTGAGGATACTTCCTCTCACGAAGATGAGGAAGAGTTCATGGCTTTAATAGGCTCACGCTCCTCCCTATGAGAGAAAATTCAAAGTTGAAGTTGAGAGAGACAGTCCTCCAGCCATTTTTCGAGCTAATCGGAGAGATTTTAAGGAAAACAAGTGTGGGTTAGATGTGAGGACCTTGAGAAGCTCACCATCTCCACTAAGTTGTCAGTCCTTGGTAGTTGAGTCATCTAAGGATTAGGTGAGTTGAGAGTATGGACCTAGGTGCTCATTCGTGCATAACATCAAACACCCTAGGTTCATGTGTTGTACATATTTTTCTTTGTTCATTTTATTGTTTTCATTATGTGAAAAATAAAAAAGAAAGGAAAAATGAAATCCAAAAAGACTTTAGATGTCTAGTTGGGCATACTTTTAGAATGTATTGGTGAATGCTTTATTTTTCCTTTATTGTTGCACTTTGTGCATATTTTTCTGTTTTTAGGTTATTTGTGAAAAATCCTAAAACATTGAAAAAGAAAAACTTTAAAAAGAGTTTCTTAAGCACAAATAGTTCATCCATGAGCTTCTTGTTCACCCAAATATTTGTAATCCAGACATGAAGATGCATGCTTGGTGGTCAGATAAGGTCGGGAGGATGTAGTGATGCCACTATTGCTTCCTTTCCTTCTTTTTCTTCTTTTGGTAGTCCTAGGAGAATCATAAATGCTTTGTTTTTGCACATTTGATTGCATGAAAATTATCTAGCTGTCATTGTATCTAATTAATGTCACACTAAAGTCTTCCTATGATCTTGTCATGGTTGCTTGAGTTCCATGGTTGTAATATATTAACAGAACGTGCATTTGGTACTGTTAATTCATGCTAACAATAATATACTTCAAGATCACATTGTTTTATCATACAACTCTCACCATCTTGATGTCTATTGAAAATAACTACCTAAAGACCGATTATAAGTTGTAGGCCCAATAAATTACATGGCCGATATGTGTAATAGGGATATGGGTGTCAATGGGCACATAGTGGAGCTCACGCCTTCATCCATATCATGTTACACCACCATAATCTATATAGGATCCATGTGAAGAAAAATTTTTTGACAACAAACTTCAAGGATGATGTGCTCTTTGATAGTTGTTTATTGAATGTGAATTGTTTAAGATTGTTTGAAGTTGGTTGCTTGAATGTGAATTTTGACGTTGGTTTTCTTAGGACAAACAATCGTTGTTTCGATTGAAATCCCCA